GAATTTTAAAAATTGCTGCAAATGAGAGATAACTTCATTATATACATATACTAGTATATTTAGCTTTTGTTTTACCTCCCAGTGTTGAAAGGCCCTGCTGTGACAGATATTTCGGATCTGGTATATTGTCAGCATTGCTTCCAAGCTAAAGTCATCCACGGCAATGGGGAATTTCCTTCTTGCAACAAGCTCCTCTGCATGAAACTCTCCTGTTTCCTCAGCTTGTCCGTCCAGGTTATTTATAAGGCTGCAAAGACTCAGCAGAGTCATTTTCCAAGAGGGGACACTTGCCTTACTGACCTGAAATTTAAAAAATAGATATTGCATTTAAAACTTACATGAATAAGAAACAAATTTATATTATGCTACATTACTATAGTTTAGAGTTAATTGTCACTTTAGTCTAATAAATACACTGTCCTTAATTTTGTCACTTCATATCACAAAGTTGAATAGTGCTAATATTCTCTACTCTCATATTCTCTATTTTAAAAAATTGCAATAAGTAATGCACACATACATGAACAAAGCAAGAAAAAAAAAGAAATGACAGTAAGTAGAAATATATAAATATAGATGTATATGACAGCACGGGTAAAGATATTAAATATACCATTCCTTCTTAATTACACTCCAGTTTAGCGTCTAATGGAGCAGGAACTAAGGTGTTACTAATAGATTTGGACAATCAGAGTAGTGAGAGACCACTAATCTATTTCACACATTGAGATGCCATAGGCAGCATCACAGCTCACCAATTTATTTGAAAATTATAATATTCTCGAGATCTTGCCTTTTACCATTATTACCATAATCAACCACTCTCCCATGTGCCAACTATAATCAATGAGAAAACATAAGGACAAAGGAGAACCTAAATGTGACATAATTAGTAAAAATTAAGAAACATTTCAAACAGCATAGATGAAAGAAAGCACAATTTTTTTTCTAAACGACATTAAAAAATGGAATGACTACTAAAGCTGTGATGGAAAGACTCAATAACAATAATTTCAGGTGTCAATTATCTCTGAATTAGTCTCCAAATATAATCCAACTGAAAATCAAAGTTCCAATTTGGAAAATATGGGGAGGCTAGAAGTTAGAAGAGGCTATTTGTCAAAATAATCATAAAGTTAATTGGGAAGTATGAATGTGTGAGTATAACCACAAAGATTTAGAAAAAAAGAATGGTAATGAGGAGGAACTTACTTTACCAGATATTAAAATGTATTTTAAAACTTCCGGAATTAAAGGAGTGAGTTAATAGAGCATGAATAAACATAAAACTCAACAGAAGAGAATATAATGTTCAATAATAGATCCAAGTATATATGACTGTGTAGCATAGAGCACAGTTTTTATTTGAAATCCTTGGGACAGTTTGGCTATGAGAAAATTTGATTTAGAGCTAATAATATTTTTTCTTGACATATTATAGTCTAAATATCCAGATGGATCAGATATAAATAAAATACTGTTTAAACATATACAATGCATTTTATAAGCTTGGAAAGGTAATATTAAACAAATATCCAAAACAGAATCCATAAACAAGAAGATAATTTAAATACATAAATGTGTAAACTATCTTTCTGGAAAATTAACATCCTGAACTAAAATCAAAAACAAGCTATCATGTAAAAGCTGGCACAATGTGTTAATATTCTTAACAAAGGTAGAGCTCTTCAAAAAGAAAATGCTAAATATCCCAATTTAAAAAAGTAAATTTTAACGTTGAATAAGTAATGTGAACAAACAAGTCACAGAATCACACATGAAAGAAATATGTGGAATGATGCTCAGCTTGGCTACCATTAGATCAGACTTTAAAAAGTACAAGTACACTCAATGGTGTACTTATGGGGACCTTTCTTAATAAAAGTATACCAAACCAGCAAACATAATTCTATGTAGACAGTAAGGATTGTTGTAGCTAAAATATGCTCATCCAATTAGAGAAGAGAAACTTGAGATGACAAGACCTGAATTGGAGCATTGCTTCAGAAATTAGACAGGAGCTTTCTTATCAAACATCCCAGTGTGGTAACAGGGATTGCACCAGGTGATGCCTCACCTCAGCATTTGATTTTCTTTGAAAACTTCTTTTGGATGGGAACCCTGTTCTCTAACTCTACGTTCAGATACACACTGGGTATGTCAACACAGTGTGGTAGCACATAAGCAGGTCTGTTCTAATTGAGTTTTATTCCTGGGTACAGGTTACCAATAGGAACCTTGTTTTCAAGACCCCAGGAGAGGAATAATAGGGCCCACTATACAAAGTTGTACTTAATTCAATAAAAACAATGAGCAGGTACAGGTAACACTTCTGTTATAGGAAGAATTTAAATCCAGGCATGAATTAATGTTAATATCTAGGAGGTTATAACTCCAACCAAAGCATTTAAAAATAAAAGATGAATGAAAGCAAGCAATGGTAACTACCCACTTCCTTAAGAGCAAATAGTTCATAAGTCACAGTTGCAGGATTAAATCTCAAGGCTTCTGTTTGCCACTCTGTTGCTCTTTACACTCTACCACATGTCTTTCATGAATTGTCATGAACTTTCATTTTTAATTTAGGAACTCCATTTTACTTTCCCCAATATAATAAAAAAGGCAAAATGTCACTGAGTTCTCATTTATGTATTTAACTTGAGGCCAATATACCTTTCATCACACACAATTTGGTAGGAATGGAAACAAGATTCCTTTAAATACATGTACACATCCACATAAATAATATGTGACTATTTAATTAAAGTTACAATATACTGATTGATAGCCACTATAATTTCTTTCCCTGTCACATCAACACCCTTAACTCCTTTGAACTCAAGGAAAAGTTCCCCGAAAAAGGAAATGCCTCCCAATGAACATTTCAGCCTTTATGGGAAGTTATTACTATAGGAAAAGGACACCATGTTTATAATGAGAGTTCCTATGTTTTCCAATCCATGGTTTAAAAAAAGAAAAACTTACCTTTGATGTGTGCACATTGGTCAATAAATCTGCTTCGAATGCTTTCATTTCCTCTTCTGAATCTGAGTGAAATCAAAACCACATGTTTACTATATAATCACATATCATATTGAACCTGCAGATTTTAGATTTATCTTTTAAAAAATTACTCTTAGATGCATGCTCTTTCCTATATATGCATTTTACTTAAAATAGTAATCAGAAAAATATTTTGTAGTTTTATTTTAGACTCAGAGGCACTTCTAAGAAAATAAGCACATAATTGTATGGCAAAAGGGCTATTGATGATTTGGAGTTATTTAATCTCTAAATCTCAAAATTAAAAAACTGATTATATCATATACTAGAAATGTCATCATATATGCTGCTTAACGTTCACCAGCAATAGTTTACATATATAGAATATATGCACACTGATCTTTTTAAAAGCAGCATCATGAAAAGGTGTGTGCAGACTTTTTAAAGACAAAAACAAAACAAAGAGAATTGCTTACTGATAATTTTAGAATAAATAGGACATTCAGATTTATTTGAGATGTTAGTTTACAAAACACACTGTGAAACATGAAAGAATGACTATTATTTGTGTTTGTCTACTTAAAAGAAAATCCAAGTATGTGTACTTAGCAATTTTATAACAGTCCATTAAGAAAATTGCTTAAATAACACTTATGTCCATTAATACATGTATGATAGCATTAAAAATGGATTTCTGATGTTTTAAGATTGTCATTTCCAGTTTCCACTAATGAATATTCTACACACACACAAACACACACACACAAAGACTGAAAGGTAATAAAAAAAATTAAAGAACACTACAATAAGATGACTTAATTCAAACACACTGACATGTATCTCATAAAGCAAAGCAGAATTTAAAAAGACTCTATCTTCTTTGCACTATACACTCTCATTAAGAAGTGTGGCACTTGGAGAAACCACTTGTTAAATTGTATCTAGGAGCTAAATTATACCAGGGATCATTTTCTCCTATTATTTTTAGGGGCACAATCTGTTTTTCAAAAGAAATAAAAATCCCTTTAGGCATTCTTGAAAAATTGATCCTGAAATCCTCATAAATTTTGGCTTATCACAGTAAGAACTTTCAAATTTGTATAAATGAAATATTTAATCAATAATCAAATTTTACTCACATGCTCTAAGTATATCTCTAAGCTCTTGCAATTATTAGATAAAACATAACTTTAGAAAATGTGGTATTTATCTCATTAAAAATTTACAAACTCAAGAGTTCAAGGTATTTAAAAAATGAAAAGAATTAAAATTTTTTATAAGATTTGTATCTTCTGCTAGATTAAATTTCATAATTTAAATAAAATCATAGAAGTTTAAATTAAACATTTCAATGTCATATCTACCAGATAAAAAGTATAAGACAGGTTAAATTATTTTTCCAGCATTCAGTCTCTGTTTTCTTTTTCATTTTGATGTGATCATTTAATTATTTTAAAAACTAATTGAAGTATATTGCAGTCACTATAGTTTTGATACTCTTCTAAATTTAAATCTCATTTTTAAGATGAATTATTGATAATTACTTAGAAATATATGGCTTCTTCTTAATTATGCAAAACACTCTAGGTAAATACTTTTAATTAATATAAGAATGCCAATTTTCCAAATATATTTGTATCAACTTAAATGACATGCAAAAAATGAATTAATTAAAAGGATGGCTATTATTTGTCACATAAAATACTATGTGAAGTATATTCTCAAAAAGGATTTGGAATATTTTTGTATTTTTCTAGAAATAATTGTTTACAAATAATGCTTCATGTATTTATTAATTAATCATCAATTTTCACATTGTTTCTTAGCATACACACACTTAAGACAAATAATTTGGGGGAGGGAGAAGCCCCTGCCTTCTAAGAGAATGACTGAGAATGAGACAAAGCAATTGAATGGCATGGGTTTTCATGAAGGCTTCACACTTTGACAGGCACTGCATCTGTACTTCTCATTAGATAGTGACCAGCCTAGTTTAAGTTTTAGGGGTTTTTTAAATTTTCTCCAGTAATTATATTCCAAAGAAGGACCTGAAGTGTTTCATTAAAATCCCTCTTATTGCCTTGCAGATTTAAAAACAGTAATCTTTTCGTTCTTATAATCATGAAGACAGAGAAAGAAAATATGCAGCTTCTATCACTGAAAAGCAATTCCAGAATAAGGGAGAAACTCCCCTCCCTGGATACATTAACATAAGTGGCAACACACTACAAAAAAAGAAAAAAGGAAAAAGAAATCACTTCAGGGAGTTATGAGATGCAGCTGAGCTTACCTGAGCACAGACTCCAGGAGGTGAAAGCCAGGAGGATCATGCAGACCAGCTGGATTTTCATTCCTGCCATCATCTCCTTGAGATTCCTAGGCAGCCAAGTTCATAAACGTCAGACAGGCTGAAGGGGGACTCTCTGTGGTGCTTCCTCTTGCCTTCAGCTGATTCTGAAAGCGACTGAAGTATGAGAGTGCTTTGACCATCCCCTATATATATACATGCATGCAGGAGGATGATGTCATGAGAGCATACAGGGTTTATCTCTTCAGGATGTGCCCTCCCTTCATCTCCATTCCTCCCCCACTTCCTCCTCCTTTTCTCCTTGGCCCCCCTCCTCTGAAAGTGACATCTTCCCTAATTGCAGCTGCTCCTCCAGATTTCTGACACACAGAAGGAGTCATTCCCAAGCAATTCCAAAGAGAACATAGTAGAAAAGAACTTTCAGTACAATTGTTTCCCCATGTCCTCTCATGCCTGGACTCCAAGAAGTTGTCATTTTGATTTTGTGAAGCATGAGATCTGTCATTTCTAGTACCAGGAACATCTCGAGGATGAATGACTGACATTAGTGATTCTTTAGGTTTGGAAGTTCTTAAAGAGTTAGGGTTCTTTTCTGATAGCTCTGATAAAACGTTTCAGTGTTTTGTGGTTTCAAGACTAATATAGGTCTTAGATAACACATGCTAAAAGAAGGAAAAAGGTAAAAGATCAGCAGAGAATCAGTTGTAATATTGGGGCTAAGCAAAATAATTTAGATTAAGGAAACAATTAAAAAATACTAGTAACCCTAAGGAATGGGATATTATTTCCTAACAAATTGAAGAGTTTGTTTATAATAAGTAACTGGGAGAATAATTTAATTATGTATGCTGACTTTTGATTACTTTTCTTAGGAAAACAATTTCATGGTTTTAAAATCCAACTATATTGTATCACTGATTGCTATTTTGTGATATTTTCCTCTTTTTCTGTCATCTTTGATGCTATATCCTATTCGTTGTATAATCTCCTTTTCACTGGTTTTCACCATTATATTACATTTCTTTCCCTTTTATAGTCATAAAAATGAGACTGAACTTCAAGAAATGAGAAAATCCTAAATAACCACCATTCACCAAAGTCACATTTCTAAGAGAGTGCCTTTATGTGTTTCATTGTTACAAAAAATTGTTCAAAATGTCTTTTGTAGTGAAGCAATCCTCTTGCATTAAGTATTTCAGGATACATGGAGTCATCTGCTGTCGGAAATGTGAATATTTGAAGGTAAAGGTGTCAGGCTTGTTCACTCTTTAAATATATCAATCATATGGTAACAAGCAAGAAGAAAATCTGAATTGATTTCTACAAAGAGTTTATTTATATGGCATATGTCTATGAGATTAGCTTCTCCGTTTTGCCTTAAACTTAAAGAAAGGAATTAATTTGAAACATTCAATAATTATTTAAATTAGCAAAGAGTCATTCATATAATGTAATGTTTAGGAATTTAATAATAGCTGATGCTTTTGTTACTTTTATTTTGCTTTACAAACTTGCATACAACACAATATTAAACATGACTCACTTGAGCAAAGTTTTATATAAAGTCTAATTGGCAAAGAACTGTAAAATATATACATCTGCAATTTTATCTCTTGCCACTAGGGGGAGAAATAGAAGTTTAAAAGGCTTTATTTTCACTTAACTAATAACAGAATTATGAGGATTTTGCTTAATTGCTTCTCAATATCAGAGCATCTTTTTGATAGAAACCTTTTAAAGCCACTTTTAAGGAAATTAAATATTCTTTGCATGACATGTAAATGTGTTGTTTTGTCTTCTTTAGAATTGCAAATACAAAGGATAATCTTTTAAGATGTGTGCAAGAGGCCTAATAGTAAAAAGGAAGTGTGATTCCTATTTTCAAGTGATTTCTTTAATATGAAGCTAAGGAAAACGTTGACAAAATTTATTCCTAATTAATTAGAAAAAAGGGGACAGAATGAATAAGGAAATTAATTTTGTTTTAAATATATCACTTGAATATTAGTTGTCAATGTGAGAATTATTTTAAATAAAGAATATATTTGAAAAAATGGGGAAATGTCAAATGATTCAAAATCAAATAGGTGCTATGCACTGTTTTTATTTTGGGGAAAAAGTATGTGTAACTTTTTGTGGCCTCCAATTGGTATTTTTTAAAAATCTGTTATTCTTTTCTTTTTCAACACCAATGCCTTCAAGCTATAGAAAAAAAGTAAATAATTTGTTTTGGAAGGTTACATTACCTGTAGATACTTTCAAAAAGTATTCTAGGGCCCTGCCAGTGTGGCTAGTGGTTGAGTGTTGTTGACCCATGCACCAGGAGGTCACTGGTTAAATTCCTGGTCAGGGCACATGCCCAGGTTTCAGGCTTACTCCCCAGTAGGGGGCATGCAGGAGGCAGCTGTTGATGATGTCTCTCTCTCATTAATGTTCCTAACACTCTCCCTTTCTCTCTCTAAAAATCAATAAAACATATACAAAAGTATTCTAGGAAGCACCCAAATTATGTTATTAATGCAGGATTTTAGGCACCTTTCTATGGAGATGAGTAAACTATTTTTATTTTAAAGACTTTATGCCTAAAATACTTCTAACTTTTATTTAATTCTTTAAATAACTCATTAAGAGCTTGAACATTACACTTTGATAATCTTCATGTATTGGCCTTCAGTCTGAGGTCAGCATGGAGTGGCTAATTCTAGGTTTTATCTTTGTATTTAGGTAAATAGGTTTATCTGGATGCATATAGATTGCAGCATCTCTACCATATGTAGATATCTGAGCTTCTACTGTGACTTAATTAGGCATTTATTAGCTAATGACTTAAAATAATCAACAGAGGTACCTAAAGTATTAATTGAAAAGAGTGGTCTGTAAACTTCTTTAATTTGGATATGGGAAAGCTCAACAACTACTTGATGAATAGTGGTTCTAAAGTTTAGAGGCTTCATCACCCCATGAACAGATTCCCAGTCTCTCCAACCTCTTTATAGCTTAATACCTAAAACTGAAGCAGTCAGTGGGGTTTTGCCATTTGGAATCTGCCCTCCATCATCCTTTTGACTTCCTTGTCTCTCGCTTCCCGACCTTCTCTCTCATTTCTATTTAAGGCCGAACCCAAGTAAACTTTTCTAAGTTTGAATCCTGAGAGTAGTCTCATCTACGTCTACTATACCGTGTCTGCTAAATGCTCATTCATTTGTGGTAAATTGTGAAGAGAAACAGAACCTGCCACCCCAAAATATGCCTCTGGCGTATTGAATATCTCGAGTTGGCTACTTTTAAAAAATAGCAAACACAGAAGAAGTCTGAAAACCAGATAAGGCATGTTTACATTAATTAAGCATTTCTAGTTTTGTAAGGGTGTCTTCCTCTCTGTACCTGAATGAGAAGGATGGCTACATCTCTGGAAACTCTTATCAGGGAAGAAGGCAAATCTGCATTACAACCTTTACCTTGTGTAGTGTGCTTTTCTTGGTAACCTCCCATAACTGGCTTTCTCCCACCCCTCACCATTTTCTTTTGTCCTTAGCTGGAGATGGTATTTAAGGTAGTAGATTAGGCCATTTGGGGGAGTTACTCAGTTTTTCTGGGTATCTTCCAATACAGGAGGCATACTTTCTCTTTGTTTTTCTCTTGTTAATCTGTCTTTTTATGACAGAGGGGTCTCAAACAAGAACCTAGAAAGGTAGAGAGAAAGTTATTTTTCCTCCCCTACAACTGTAAACTTCTAGAAGCGAAGGACTGCCACTCATCCGTGTATATCCTCTTCTTCCAAGACTTACAATCCTGAAGTGTCAAATATGTATTTACTAAATTGAATCGAAATACTGATTATCTTAAATTTCTAACATATTTTTCCATGTTTCTATTTGCAACCTTGCTTTCAGCCACGTCTCTAATTTTCGTGATTTAAAACTCTTTCTTTTATCATTAATCTTAATATTTGATGTGAGCCTTTAGCTGTCAGTTTTCTCTGCCCTTTCTCTAGTCATTCTACTCCCCCCTGACTGGATAAGTCAACTTTAAAAAGCTTTTTAAGAACAGAGCCCTGGGATTATGTGCATTCATCTGCTGAGTGCTTAGGATAAACTGTGGGTTTACACCATTCCTCTAAATGAGTCTCTGGTTTGGAACCATAACCCTGATTCATCTGAACAAACAATGATCTTAATCTCTTTGTAAACGCAATTGGTTTTTCTGTTCAATTAAAGTCCATTTTCTAGACGTACAGATAGTTATATGCATGCACACACCACACCCACATATACTCTCTTCCACACAAAATGCATATGACCCAGACCTTGGAGACTTAGGTAAATATAAACCAAATATCCAATTTCCCAATCTATATGTAATCATGCTTTGCCCATAATCTCTATAAATACCACATCATTTCCCTTTGGCTCTCTCTGTCTCTGCTTTTTCATCTTTATAGGCAATCAACTTGGAAAAATTGATAATAGATTTTTGTAGTTAAAACATTTTGCCACTTTGAATTTTATAACTCCAATTACAACACAAGCTTTGGCTGGGATTCACATGGCAACAAGTTGCCGTATTTAAGGGAAAATGTTCCATGTTGTAGTTATTGCTGATGTCACTTATAATCTTGTTTCTCTAAAAAAACATGCGATGTCCACAAAATTACTACCCACTATGTGTAATGCTCAAGTAATTTTCCATGTAAACCTCATTTTTATAAGACTAAAATAAAAGCATCACGGAAAATAAAACAAAACAAAAACCCATGTTCCTAACAGTTTTCTCTTCTTTTCTCAGTTTTACAAATTAAAGTGCAATAATACAATGAGATGAATTTTTATTGAAAGAAAATCCACCCTTATTTATGTTACAATAGCTAACAGATGCACTTGAGCTAGCAGGAGCAGATTCAGAGAAACACTTCCTTTATCTTAAGAAGATCTTAGATGTTAAATTCAGAACACAGTAGTTTATATTATTAGCACTTTGTGGTTTTATCTCCCCCGCCCCCCCCCACCCCACTTACTAGTAAATTATTTCCCTAGTGACCCTGGCTTTGAATTTTATCTATTCCCTGGCCACCTCTCAATTTGCATCTCTGACCACCCAAATTGTAGATTATTTCCCTAGTGGCCCTGGCTTTGAATTTTATCTATTCCCTTGCCACCTCTCAATTTGCATCTCTGACCACCCAAATTATGTAACAATCACACGCTCAGCCGCTGTACTTAAAGGATCATTAGGCAAACTTG